AAAAAGAAAAAGACGAAAAAAGGAGGAAAATGAGGAGCTGAGAGCAAGGGCCCAAGTAGAAAGCAAATGTTTTGAGAATGATGATGGCAACAACTTTTACAGACACAATGGATGGATGGATTGTGATAAGAGTTGTACGAGCCCCCAATAAAATGATTTAAAAAAAAAAAAGCAAAGCGAACTTGAAGATAGAGAAGAGTGAAGTTGAAGGTCCCGTGTTGAACCGTGAGTCTTCCCAGTGAAGTGAGGCTGAGGCTGCTGCTGAGACTGAGCCTGGGAAATGAGGAATTAAAACGATCTAGTGCCGATTCCGTCAACAATTCACTCGGGGCCCCTGGATTTGAGGAAGATGGGACTTTCTCTGAGCTAGCTTTTGGAAACCTTCAAGCTAAGCACTCACGATGTGGGCAGCAAGGGCATGGCTAGCTCCGGTAGGAAGAGGCTATCACTTACCAAATAGCACAACTTCTCACACCGTATTGGGCAGTAAGCCATATGCTCGGTGGTGTGAACTTTCATCCGCACATCGGAAACACCACCTGCAGGTGGAGGCTTCCCTGGGATTTCATTGTAATACTCGTGGTCTTCTGTCTCCTCAGCATGGCCGTCCCCATGCCCCTCCTCACTGTAAGGGAAAAAACAAAACCAAAAAAGCTTCCCTCAGAGGCTGGGCTCGGGAATTGAAATGCTGCAGGGGATACAGAGGGATCAGAACCATGCAACTCATCCAGAGGAACTTGTGCCTCCCTGGTTTCAGTTTAGAATTCTGCTGAAGTGACGTCAACATCTGGATGGAGGCAACCAGATGGCTGTGTGGTTGACCTTTCCTTGGACAAGGAAAGTTGGGTGAGGCAGCAGCAAGTGCCAAGGGTGCTGTGTCAGGGTCTCTCCTTGGTGATGAAAATAGAACAACTCCTTACAGGAACAACTTCTTGTTCCAGGATCCAAAAAGACAAAAGTTTTTCCTGGGTCTCTGCAGTACACGTTGACCGCCCCATCTAAGACATGTTTTGCTCTAAGAAAATGTTGTTATTGTTCTTAGGGTCAAAGGTCTGACGCTGTTTATTAAATCAAGTTCAGAAGCAAAGGATAAAGCAAGAGAGAAAACTATGGCCAGCTATCTTGTCTGCACAAATCTGGAGGGCGGTATGGGATTCCTAAAGAAATATTAGAACCATATGTGGCAAGTGGGGTAGATTTTTGTAAACATGCAATTGTTTTAAAATCAAAACAGGGCAGAAAAACAAACGGCCTTGGCCTTCCAAATTGGAATTAGGAAGAATTTCTTATGAAAAAGAATGAATCAGGTCTTTGGGGATTCGACTGCTTCCACTGACAACCCACACAGTTTTATTGGGTTCATTACATGTCAACAAAAACGTGGCAGGAAGATGTAACCCTTATCCTGGGAAAACTTCAACATCAAGGCATTCTGAACACCCTCTGTCCTTGGCTCCCCTAGACCAGCTCGTGAAAGGGAAGTTCCAAACCCAGTGTTTGTTGATGCACAAAGTAACAAATTAGGGGGTGAGTGCATTTAAAAGGGCCTTTGAGTTTGCTTTGTCGGTGTGAATTGTGGGACCCAGAGTCCTCCTGGCCTTCCACACATGGTGGAGGCTGAGAGACCAGAAAAGGTTCTGCTTACAACTCAGACCTCCTGTGCCTTAGGCCGAATAAGCAGGTCCCTAGCTCTCCTACAGTGTGTGTTCCACCCGCTGCTACAGTTGGGTTGGCTCTGGTCCTTCTGACATTGCGAAACAAGTCAGCCGAACAGGAATTCCTGCTGTAGACATTTGAGTCCTGCCCTTGTGCTCTTTGTTCATTTTTCTGTCCCTAACAGATCTGTAAGCGGTCTGGGGACTGAATGAAAGCTGGGAGACTGGTTAATGGTTATTATATTATGAAGCTACTTCATTCAGTCACAGTTCAGTGTAACATGAGAGAACCAGGGCCGCTCCCTTCTGCTTAGCATCCCTTGTAATCCCATTATAGAGTAAAAGAAAATATCTGGATGACAATGAATGAAAGAAAGAGAATTTCACTATTGTCTGGTACCCAAATTATGCCCATTTGTAAAGGGGGAAGTGGGGATGGCTAATTCCATTAGTCAATTTTACGAATGCCACAGTGATTTACAAAGAAAACCAAAATATAGCAAGTTAAGTCATTAGAGAACTCTTGGCTGACCTTTCACAGGAAGTATTCAAAGAAGGATTTTTCAAGTACTGCTTAAACCGGAGTTCAAAAGCCTGCCCTATGGTACTTATGACATCTTGAGCCATTCCATTGCAGCATTCCAGTATGTGACAGGCTGCAAGAGGACAGACAAAAGCCATCATTATTGTAACACATTTTCCATAAGAGAGAATGATACAAAATCCAAGTACCTTCAAAACATGAACTGGTAATCGAGTACAAGGGAAACAGGTTGACAAGCTATCCGCAACTCTGAAATGGTATGGAAAATCCCTCCCATTTGATATGAATTGAAAGAGAAGAAATACATTCCTATTTTCTATCTGTGTATCTCAAAACACAAGTTTTGGTCTCAAGACAAGCATGCAGGCCCCACATCTTGATAGCAGGCTGTTCTTGAGCAATTATGTGGCTAAGGTGCCATGCAAGTTGTAGAATCCAATAAAACACAACATGCTTAGGGCAGCCATCTGATTATAAGACAGGATTTGAGGTCTTGCCTTTGCACGGTACATTACAGAAGGTGGAAAACAAGTGTTGACTTTCCAAACCAAAAGAGATAGATCAAATACAATTGGAGGGGAAGTTGCTGTTAAAGGGAGGAGCTTTAACATAATACTCTTTCTTTTGGCAGCCCCTGTGCCCTGACCTTGCAACCTCGCGCCTAGCAATTCATGATAAGTACAGTCATCCAAGTCGTTGAAACCCCAGAGGAACAATCTCCAACAGGTACCAAAAACCAAGATTGTGTGACCGTGTCATGATCAGACGACACTAAAACTTTCATGAGATGCAGTCTCTGATCAGCAGTGACTAGGAAGGTGATAGTTTCAAAGGCAAAATAGACAAATAAACGTGGGTGAGGGACGTGTTCTCAGAGAATATCAGCTAAACGAGTCAGCAAGCCTGCTGCTGCTATGTAAGATGTTGGAACTATGTTGGGGGACTAAAAATTTACCTCCCCACCATATTTAACATTCTTGCCTCGGTGTGGGGAGCTTTGCAATATAAAGATTTCATTGAAATTGAAGTTCCAAGAAGGATGACTGAGAAAGCTTCCTAAGGATGATTTCAAGATATAGAGTCTTTCAATCTCATTGAAGTAAGTCTCGTGAAGAATTTTTAAGGAAAAAAACATTGGCTTGTATGGCCTGAAGGACTAAGAATCGGCGACAGGCTTGATAATGGTTTCAGGTACACGCGGATGTTATCAGATTGTCAGCTAGTCCCTGAGCCAAGAGAAAACTTGGGGAGAGAGACTGTGGTTTCAGTGTTGAGACAACCCCCGGAACATGTCGCCCAAAGGGATACCCCAGCAGAGGAAGAACACTGTCTTTGTGGTGTGATTTAGTTGGGCTGTAGCTGGGAAGCATGACTGTGTGCTTCACCACGTCTTGGAAAGGATTACGTATTTAAGAGAGATGATCATTTTGCTTCACAATGATTATGGATTATGGCTTTGTTTAAGAGAGATGATCACTCATTCATATATGATAGAATAATAGCGATACTGGAACCTTTAACAGGGTTCAGGGCTCATAACACAGACCAGCAACAATGAAAACACTTGGTCTTGGTGTGCAGGTTTCCAGGCCGGTTCGTGTGGTAATCTGAGCACTGATTCCGAAAACTGCATTGCACAGCCTCATCAGCTTTAGTTTCTTAAATACGGTGTTCCACTATCTTTTCAGTTACAGAGTATACTGTAGTTATACTAGTTTATTAATGTATCATCCTAGTTTAACATCTGATAATGATGCAGACCCCCAAATGACAGAATAAGACAAAAAAGGTCAAACCTATTTAAGAAGGAATTAAGTATTAAGGGACTCCCAAGGGAAGCTGTACGGGGACGCATGGTAGCTGGTTGGTTCGAACACAACAGTCACTCTGCTGCCTTTAAAAGATTTAAGGCTTGGAAGCCCAAAGGGACCGTTCCTCTCTGTCCTACAGGGTGACCTTGAGTTAGAACCCATGAGATGGCAGCGGGTTTTCCTTTGGGGTACGGGAGACTGTGTGATACATACAGAGACGACAAGTGGGATCCTGCAAAGCCAGCGCACAACCTGAGCAAAGGGGGAAGGAGAAAGGAGAAGGAAAAGGCACATCCATGGAAGGTGGGAGGGCTATGGAGAGAGCTGAACGCTAAGACTTGATAGCGATTTTCATAAATATTTTGAAGATCGAAATTTTTCTTCAAATTATGCAGTAAACATTTCAGAAAACGTTTTAATAAATGTTTCAGAGGTGAAGCCAACTCCACTTGTGATTGTTGTTATAAAATGTCTCACTATTAAGAGTTTCTGTGCACGGGTGGAGAAGTTGTGCCATTTTAGAACAAGGCTGGGACATTTTAATTTTAATAAAGGAGGCTGGACTCTGTCAGACCCATTTTGGGTTTTGGAACATTTGCATCTCTATTGATTAACCCAAACTCAGTTAGTCAATTATAACTCCTAACAACCCTATAGGACAGAGTGGACTGTAAAAAAATCATTAAAGACTTTTAGTCCAGTTTTAATTTGACTGTTATTTAAAGAGTATATATCTCTGTACACTTAAGGTAACTGTGTGTGTGTGTGCACGCATGCACGTACATACATAGAAATGTGGTGGTGGTTATAAAATAAAAAAGGCTAAGTTGTCCGATCCCCCAAAAGTTAGAAATTTCATAATGAAGCCTGGAGTCACCTTCACTTCTAAAACATTTATTAATATAGGTTCTGAAATGTTTACTGCACAATTTACCTTCTTTCATAAGGCTTTCCCTTGAAAGAACGTCTTTGGATTCTGAAATGGACTTAGGAATTAATTCTGTTTTGAAAACTTAATTCAGACTATTTATAAAAGTACAACCTTTATCTCAAAGGAGACTACTGGGCCAGTCTTCAGACTGGCATTTTATATTGCCCTGCCCCTTCTTTTTGTGTGCCTATAGACAGCACAGTGACCCACATA